TTTTTCAACCTAAACCTCACGCCTCTTCAAGTCTACAATTCTCATTGACTATTTTAGATAAGCAAATGCATATTTGTATCAATGTAATTGTGCATTAATCTTTGAATTGTATGTAATAAATGAGGACATAACAATTTTTTGGTGTATTGCTTTCCAAATGTTGTGGTGATAAAGACAATGTTTGATTCTCTTCAAATATTTTGTCGTATTTAGGTTTATTTTTATTGAAATTTTTTTCTCAATTTATTAATTATTATAACTTATTATTTTATGCTTATAAAATAAATTATATTTATCATAAAAATTATCTTATCTAAGCCCGGTTGTATTTAAAATATAATGACAAATAGGATATTTTGTATTTGAATCGATCTGGAATATAAAATTTTAAAGAAATTACGCCCTTATGAGTGTAAACAGTTCAAAGGTTATTTAAGTCATTTTAATCGAAAAAGAGCTTATCAACACTTTTTATCAACTACTGCAACAACTTTTTATCAATTTCACCGCTTGTATCCAAACACGTAACTGCTTATTTATGAAATCAGTTTTAGCACTTAAAAGTGCTTTTCAGCCCCTAATGCTTATCAACTACTTCAAATCAGCTAACCCAAACGTGCTCATATTCTCATGTACCGCGTTAAAAAGATAAATAAATTATTGGTCTCAGCCAACCCAAAGATACTTTTAACGTAATAGATTTTGTTTGTTTTGAATCCAAATCCCTACATCTTATATATTCCGAATCTTCTCACCAGATAATGTCGTACTTTATTCGCACATCAGATACAAACAATATAATTAGTATTGGCTAAGTTAATCACATTACTTCAGGAAACCAAACAAGTAAATGTTAATGTGACGACCCAAAGGGTCATCACCTGTTTTCTCATTCATACCGTATTTTCGAGGCCTTGAAAACCTCATTTTTAGTCTCCTCGATTTGCGTGCGGAGTCCGGGCGCGAAGCCGGAAAGCTTAAATATGAATTCTGTGTGAAAAATGATGAATTTTGGTAGTAATATGATTAAAATTGACTTTGGTCAACATTTTGGGTAAACGGACCCGGACCCGTGATTGGACGGTCCCGGAGGATCCGTAGAAAAATATGGGACTCGGGCGTATGCCCGGAATCGAAATCTGAGGTCCCGAGCTTGAGAAATGAATTTTTAAAAGAAATTGTTTTTCTGAAGTTTTTTTGAAGAAATTTGAAATGAAAATGGTTTATAACGTGTTGGTATCGGGCCCGCATTTTGGTTCCGGCGCCCGGTACAGGTCTTACAAGTGGTTTAAGCGCTTTCTGTGAAATTTGGTTGAAATCGGACGTATTTGACGTGTCTCGGACCTAAATCTCTAAAAATGATAGTTTATGAGGTTAGATGAAAAAGTGATTATTTTGTGACTTGATTCCTCGTTTTTTATGATAATTTGGAGATTTGATCGCACGGTTAAGTTCGTAGGATGTGGTTGAGTTAGTGTGTGTGAGTGGTTAGGAGCCCCGAGGGCTCGGGAGTGTTTTTGGAGGTGTTCGGGATGGTTTTGAAACTTAGGAAACCGTAGAAAAATTGCAGCAGGTGAACAGTGAATTTCTTCATCGCGTTCGCAATGCCCCTTCGCGTTCGCATAGCTTCAAAGTCTGCCCTTCTTCGCATTCGCATCCCTATTATCGCGATCGCGTAAGCCAAGTTCAGGACCCCAGTAGGTCCCTCTTCGCGTTCGCATTGAGCTGTTCGCGAACGCATAGCTCTGCTGCTCCCTTCAACGCGTTCGCGTACCTTTTCACGCGTTCGCGTAGGCCCAGATCCTGGACCCCAGTATTTTACTCTACCCGTTCGCAGCCCTCCACTCGCGAACGCGATGCTTGCCAGCCTCCCTTCTCCGCGAACGCGACCCTCCCTGTCACGAACGCATAGAGTAATTCCGCCCAGTGATTTTTTTTTTAAAATGTTCAAAACAGTAGCTACGGGTTTAACTCTAATTCTCACGAGCTCTCTTCTTCCCCAAGCTTCTAGGAGTTCATTGAAGCCCCCATTCTTCAAGACCACTTGGGTTAGTAAATCCCCACTTATTTCCTTCATTTTTCTTCATTAATTACTGAAATTCTAAGCTTAAATCACATAGATTAGGGTGGAAATTGGGGGAGATGGGTAGAATTAGGGCTTTCCAATTTTCTTTGATTTAGACCTCGTTTTGGGGTCGGATTGGAAAACAAATTATATATTCGGGCTCGTGGGGCAATGGGTGATATGAAATTGGTTCGAACCTCGGGTTTTAACCAAGCGGGCCCGGGGTCGATTTTTGGAATTTTGGGAAGAAAGCTTAGAAAACTATATTTAGGCATTGGGTTTGATTTGTGTAGCTTATATTAATGTTGTAAAGTCGTTATTTCATAGATTTGATTGAGTTGGAGCCGAATTCGTGAGGGAAGGCGGTCGTTGTGGATTGATTTAGCTGTGGAAGTTGAGGTAAGTGTTTGGTTTAACCTTAGCTTGAGGGAATAGAAGTTGAGTCTTGTTTGCTACTTGCTAATTGTCGAGTACGGTGTATGGGCATGGTGACGAGTATCTACACTCTGGTTACTATCATGACCGTGAGTCCTCATGTTGTGTTTATTCTTATCTTGTTGTGCTTTTCCATGCTTAGTTGATGATTCCTATTCGATGAAAGAGTATGAAAAAGGAAATTATGAATCGTAAAATTCTTGGGAGCATTGGCTCAAGTGATAAAGTGAGATGTGATGTAAGAAATGAAAGAAAGCTAATGAGTTATTGATTATTCCCTTGCCGGGATGTTTTGCTGTTTGGTAGACTTTTCTCCCTTGCCGGGATGTTGAAATTATTGTTATTGTTCCCTTGCCGGGATTCCTATTTTGTTTGTCTATTCCCTTGCCCCATTGATTGTGATTGTTGTTTGGGTGAGGACGAGTGCTAAAGCACGAAGGGTGATGCCGTGGACGATTGTGAAATGAAAACTAATGCACGAAGGAACATTCCGTGCCATGATATGATTACTAATGCACGAAGGGACATTCCGTGCCATGATGTGAGTGTTATGCACGAAGGATCATTCCGTGCCATCATTTTGTGAGGTAAAGCACGAAGGGTGATGCCGTGCACTTTATATGATTGTTTTGGTGAGAACGAGAGTAAAAGCACGAAGGATGGTGCCGTGCAACTGTTGATTTTCTACTCTCGTTGATATTGTAGTTGTATTGTTTCATTCCTTATTTATTGATTTTATACCTAAACTGTTACAGCCCCTACAGCATGCTCCCCTCCCTCTTGATTGGTTGATTTCTGTACCTTTATATTGCATACATATATATTGAACTGCACAGGTTTGTTTGGTAGTTCGGTCTAGCCTCCTCACTACTTCGCCGTGGTTTGGCCAGGCACTTACCAGCACATGGGGTCGGTTGTGCTGATGCTACACTCTGTGCATCTTTTTGCACAGATCACGGTGCCGGAGCAGCTTTTGGACAGCAATAGTAGATTTGGGAGCTGACTTCAGTCCGGAGACACCGAGGTAGCCTTGCTGACGTCTGCAGGCCCGGAGGTTCTTCTATCTTTATTTTAGTTTGTTATCCTTTGTACCGGAACAAACAAAACTATGTTTTTATTCAGACATTGTATTTAGCATTCTCTAGACGTTCGTGAGTTTGTGACTCCAGTTCTTGGGTAGAGTTGTATTGAACTTCCGCATTGCTTTCAGTTTATTTATATTTAAGACTTCCGCTTTTCTATTAGATGTTTCGTTGTTTTTAAAAATGTCGAGGTTTGCTAAAAGAGGTAATAAATAATTGGCTTGCCTAGCTGCTAATAGTAGGCGCCATCACGACTCCCGAGGGTGGGAAATCCGGGTCGTGACAATAATATATTTGTTTGCTTAATGAAAGTTGCATCCCTCTTTGTGTACGTCCAACAGATTCTCAAAAAGAGAATATTTTTAGTTTAAATGTTAAAATAATTGGCTTTGATTAATTAAAGAATGAAATTCAAATTACAAAAAATCTTGGACTACTACTTTCACTAAATATTTTTTCATTTATAATACAAATTTTTTTATGTTGTCTTAAAATTATCAAGTGGCTTCATTTTAGCTTGCCATTTGGCTTAACCACATTGCAAACTACTCCTTTTAATATAAAATAGATATTACCTGCCTACAGAAATTACCAAAATTGCCGTCCTTCCATGGAATTTGACCGAGGAAATGGATGAGCAAAAAAAAAATTATGAAGAATTGAAAGAGCAAAATTTCAGTCTTTCACTTTCTCTATCACTAACTGACAGTGAAAACCTCCTGAAATGATCAGAACATTGGGACTTTCCTCTCTTTTTCTTTTTTGTCTTTTTTGTGAGATCACCTTCTTCTCTCATCTCAAACAGGACACACAAACAACAGACTGAAAATATCAAACATATCTGCCTTTTCCTTATACTAGGAAACAAACATCTTTTAAATAGTTAAACCCATCGAGTTTGTTCATGGATCCCAAGCAGACGCCAGCGCAGTCTAACGCTATCAATATTAACAACAGCAACAACAATATTATGGTTGAGTACAATAAGCCTGTTCATGATCAGATAAAAGAAGATGAAACCAAGAAGCAGCAGCAATTGGTTCCTAAAAGAAAAGATAGGCACACAAAAGTTGAAGGCAGAGGGAGGAGGATACGTATGCCTGCTCTTTGCGCTGCTAGGATTTTCCAACTCACCCGCGAATTAGGTCATAAATCTGATGGAGAGACAATCCAGTGGCTGCTGCAGCAAGCCGAGCCCTCCATATTTGCCGCCACCGGGACAGGGACCATCCCTGCCTCGGCATTAGCTGTAGCAGCCGCTGGCCCCTCTGTTTCCCAACAGGGGACCTCTGTATCTGCTGGTTTGCATCAAAAAATGGATGAATTGGGAGGGAATATAGTCGGGTCCGCTAGTATATGTACTAGTAGTAGTAGTAGTAGGACCAGTTGGCCAATGATGATTGGGAATTTTGGAAAACCCCATTTGGCCACAACAGGAATATGGCCCGGACCTACTCCTGTTGTCACTAGTTTCGGGTTACAGACAGCATTGACTCCAGGATCAAGCACCAATTTGGGTAGTGAAAGTTCCAATTATTACCTACAAAAGATTGGCTTTCCTGGATTTGATCTGCCTGCAGCCACCAATATGAGTCCTATGAGTTTTACTTCAATTCTGGGTTCCAGTAATAACCAGCAATTGCCAGGTTTGGAGCTTGGATTATCTCAAGATAGGGGTCATATAGGGGTTTTAAACTCTCAAGCCTTGAGCCAGATATACCAGGCTAGAATTCACAATCAACAGCAGCACCAGCAAAATCAGCATCAGCATCTATCTCCCGAGGATGATTCTCAAGGATCAGGACACTAATACAACTTCCAGATAGAAGACCTGAGCTAGGTTTTCAGTGAATAGTTTTCATTTTTTTAGGAGCTGTATTAATTATAAGTTAAAAGCCAACTTTTCATTATTCATTTTCCCTTTATATCTTAGTTTGTGAGCTTATATCTTGTTTACTGAAATAGACATGGTAATCACATAAACATGCGCAATTTAAGGCTTTGGATAGATTCACCTCTTTGTTTTTGTACAAGTAAGGGATTTCCGGCAGTCAATTGCAATTTCAATATATCCAGCCTAAGGAGGTCCCAAAAACTCTGCTCTAGTTTCTTCTGGTTTGGGGTTGAGGTAGGGGGTTAGAGATTTTCATTCTTTTCTTTGGTCAATTCATCACGTAAATCAAGAAAGCCACAACACTGCAGCTATGACAGCTGGTGGCCTGAAAAATTAGCCCTTAAGTGTATTGATAGCTCCATAAATTGATTCTAGTAAGTCAATGGAAATGGAGCTGTCAAAAATGGGGATGTAACTGTAAGAAACATTTGGGGGGTGGGGTGGGATTCATGGCATCACTGGAAGAAAGAGTAAGATGCAGAATAAATGCTGTCAAAAGAATCGAATGAGGAAGTAAACAATCCTCCATTCAGTTCAATCTTCTTTTTTTGATAGAAGTCTGCATTCAGTTCAATCTTCTGGATGAGCTGCAGTAACAGATTGCAATTTCTACTGGAAAACAAAAAAAGGGAACTTGGTACTGTATTGCTGCTTTTCCTCCAAGTGTTATACATCTGATTGCTGGCATTCCTTCTTTTAAGGGTGGGAGGCTTTGATGGAGTTTCCATACTGACACTTCGCTTCACAATAGATAATTTTCTTTCAGAACTGTGTTGTGCTCACCATACAACCTATAGTGCTAAAAGAAAATTCTTGTCGTCTTATTGACATTTTTAGTGTTTGCTTTTCTTTAAGCAGCTTTATGGATGAGTATTGTATGGACATTTATTGAGCTTGATGTTGTTGGTCTGTATTGGAAATCTGGAAGCAATCTATCTGGTGTGTGGATATTCATTTTGCCCTTCATAGGAGTATTGTTTATGGAGTACTTGTTTTCAGAAAGTATCAATTCTTGAGATGCAGTATCATCTTTTTGAGAAAAAATATTGACTTATAGAAGTTCACTTTGATATCTTTATATCATCATTGCATTTTATGAGAACAAGAAGTTTCTGCCTGTTGTTATTCACATGTATCCTGCCAATGTTTCGAATTGCTTCTACATGCTGCTATGGTGGATTAGGAGCAGTTCCTTGAGTAAGCGAAACAGATGCTGTTCCTAAAGGGGCCAAAACGTAAAAGAGTTGTTGGAATTGAAATGCATTTCCAGCAAACAAGTACGGATATTACAGATTTAAGATCATGACCCATTCAGGGACTAAACCCCAGTTGCAGAGCATTTTTCTCCAGATAAAATTAAAGTACTTTGGGTCAACTTGAAGGTGAGCCTTGGAACGACGGTCAAGTTGTCTCCGTGTGACCTATAGGTCACGGGTTCGAGGCGTAAAATCAGCCACGAATGCTTGCATCAAGGTAGGCTGCCTACATCACACCCCTTGAGGTGCGGCCCTTCCCCAAATCCTGCGTGAACGCAGAATGCTTTGTGCACCGGGTGACCCTTGAGTCGACTATTTGTTTATGTTGTTTTTACAACTATGATTGAGTATAGGAAGGCTTGTTAATCAAAAGGCTATTATGTAAAGGGCTTTTTGCCTTGGTTTGGCTTGAATATGATGAGCTTATCACATGGCATTTTATATCTACTCTTCTTGTCATGAAATAGATAAATCTTCTCCATTAACGAACTTCCAACATTCTCTTTTTTAGCTACTTCTTGCAGAGGTGTGAAGCAGATTTAATAACAATTTTCTTTTGACATGCTCAATTGAGTTTTCTCCCAGGAGGCACTGTAATTAGTGTGCTCAGTTTCTCAGGCTGGTGACACATATTTAGGTTGTGGATAGTGTTTCTAACATAAGAAAATGAATTTCCTTTTTGTAAAGTCATGATATGTTACTATATCTAATGCCTTTAGCCTACAATGTGATTATTTCTTTGATAAATGTCTCACAATGTGCATATTGACAGACAGATTTTAGCTATATTTTTCTTGGAGGGGTCAGAAATCATAAAGCTAACTGGTGTAGTGTTAGTACACTGTATTCAAAACCAGAAAACTAGAAAATTGTTAGTTTAAGAAACAAAATAGAAAAATTCTGAGCCCACAATTTCCTTGTGTGTCCTTAAGAAATTTAATCCCCTCACGGTTGCCCAAGGTTACGGATTAATTCCTCCCAGAATAGAACGGAATAAATATTCTGTGATAGCGGCACTTCAAATCATAGAACTTCGCCGAACTCAAATGGCGGAGCAATCACACAATAGTTATTATCAATCAATCATATCAATTGACCAAATCCGAAGCCGAAGCCGAAGCCGAGCCGAGCGAGCGAGCGACGACGACGGCGCGAGGCACCACTTCTTCTTAACTCTTTTAAGAGCTAGAAGATGTGCTTCTCTATATAAGCACAAAGATTTTTTTTCCTTCTTCCATTGAGGGACAAAGTGCATTAGTAAAGTGAACTAATTCAAAATTTCACTTCCCTCCATTTCTTTTCCCACCATTTTCCATTCACACCTCTTTTGTTATTACTAACAAAACCCAACAATCCCCCACATGAATGGGGAATGGCTATCCGAAATAAATATGTATGAAAAAACTGTGTGATTCGCAAGTGAGGATTAATCGCATCTGGATAAGTAGGTTTCCCATTGAACTTTCCGTTTTGAACTTATATCGGATATACTCAGTCAATCGGTAGTTGATATCTTTGAACCGTCGAACTTTGGTGTATACCTAGACAACCATAAGTCACACAATCAACCCTTAACCGTCTTTGGTTCTCATTGTTGTGTTCTTTTCAGCCATGAACACCACCTAGTTCATAAATGCGTAGAGAACTGGCTTAACAGAATTCTCCTTGAAGCGACTTACACTCCACACTTACATAGGTGATTCCTAAACGTGTTATCCCGTAGATACACTATATGATTGTCACGACCCGGATTTTCCACCATCGGGAGTCGTGATGGCGCCTACTATCGGAGCTAGGCAAGCCAAACATTTAAAACATTTTTACTGATTTCATTCAAACAATACAATAAACGAGAACAATAAATAAGCGGAAGATTTTAGATTAATACAACTGCAAACCAAAAATGCGGAAGTTTGAAACATAGTTCTACCCAGAGTTTGGTGTCACTAGCTCACAGACTACTATAGAATGCTAAAAACAAGTCTAAAAGGAAATACATAGTGTTTGTTCGATACAAGGTAAACAAACTAAAACATAGAAGGGACTTCGGCCTACGAACGCCCGCTAGGCTACCTCGTGAGTCCCTGGACTGAAGATAGCTCCCGGAAATCCTACTGCTGTGGTCCAAAAGCTGCTCCCTGATCTGTGCACAAAAATGCACAGAGTGTAGCATCAGCACAACCGACCCCATGTGCTGGTAAGTGCCTGGCCTAACCCCGGCGAAGTAGTGACGAGGCTAGACAGGACCTACCAAAAACAACCTGTACAGATATATATACATATACAAGAGCAACGAAAATAATAACAGAAGATATCAAGTAAAGCTGGGAAGGGGGCATGCTCGGGGATAACAGATGAAGACGAATTATTAGAAATAACAGCAGAACTACTCCGGGTTTCCATGATATATATAGTGGACGGCGTGCCACACGATCCCATATTATAATACATAAGTGGTCGGCGCGCCACACGATCCCATTTCATAACATATATAGTGGTCGGCGTGCCACACGATCCCATTTCATAATATATAAGTGGTCGGCGCCACACGATCCCATTTCATGACATATATAGTGGTCGGCGCGCCACACGATCCCATATTATAATATATAAGTGGACGGCGTGCCACACGATCCCATACTATAGTTCAAAATATCTGACTTTGTAAAGAAGGCCCCATTAGGGAAATTCGACAACATAACACTTTAACCCGGCAAGGGTACAGCTAACAGCCCAAATATCTCGGCTAGGGAGAGTACATAATAATAGTCTACACGTCCCGGCAAGGGAATAATCACAACACATCCTCTTTTAAATCACTTCTTTCTCCACTATCACATTCTTGTTCGAGCCAACGCTCCAAAATATACCAATCACAATTCTTCCTCAACCGTTCACATTATATGAAATTTATCGAGTAAACAGGGAAATTGTGTCACATCATTCGAATTACAAGCAATTAAGACTCACGGTCATGCTAGACTCCGGTGCATAGACAACCGTCACCATGCCTATACACCGTACTCCACATTTAGCAAGTAGCAAATAGCATCCTAATCCTATTCCCTCAAGCCAAAGTTAGAACAAACACTTACCTCGGTCCAAAGAATAGCAATCAACCCTCAAATACCGCCTTTCCTCTACAATCCGACTCCGAAACAATGATATCTAGGCATAATCAATTCAATAATATCAATAAAGACTCAAGGGCAACATCCCATAGCCTAGATATGAATTTTCTAGCATTCTCTCAAAAATATCAAAATTAGACACCGGGCCCACATGGTCCAAACACGAGGCTCGGACCAAAACCCTATCACCCATAACCCCACGAATCCAAATATGTAATTTGTTTGAAGATTCGCCCCCAAATTGAGGTTGAATCACCCGAAATCCCAAAAGCCCTAGTTCTACCCAAATCCCCCAATTTCTACTTTGATTTCATGATTTAGGGCTAGGAAATTAGTAATTAGATGAAGAAATAATGAGGGAATGATGTTAAGATTACTTACCCAAAGAGTTATGGAGGAAGGAGAGCTTGAATTTCGTCTATGGAGGGTTTAAGAGGAGAGCTCGTGTGAAAAGTGAGGAAAAATCCCGCAACCATTCTGTTTTTAAGCTTTTAAAAAAATCACTGGGCGTTTTTGGTCTATGCGATCGCGGGGCAACTGATGCGATCGCATAGAGGAGTGGGAACTTGGCTTCTGCGATCGCAGAACAAGTCGTGCGTTCGCATAGAAGAAGGGAAGCCAGGATTTTTGGGTGAAGTTTAAAGCTGTGCGATCGCGTAGAGGTGAATGCGATCGCATTGAAGAGACTGGTCAAACTATGCGATCGCGGGACAACATATACGATCGCGTTGAAGAAATTTGGAATGCCTGGAGAAGACTCTATGCGATCGCAGGAATGGAATTGCGATCGCAGAGAGCAAATTCTCTGAACACCAGAAGCAGAAATTTTGCAACAACTCTAAGGCCAAAAACACCCCGAACTACCTCCGAAACACTCCCGAGCCCTCGGGGCTCCTAACCAAATATACCACACTAACTCAACAACACTCTACGAACTTACTCGAGCGATCAAATCGCTAAAATAACATCAAAATCAATGAATCAAGCCCCAAATTCATCATTTTCATTTCAAACTTCTTAAACTTCTAACTTTAGATATTTAGGTCCGAAACACGTCAAATGACGTCCGATTTTGACCAAACTTCACAGAAAGCGCTTAACACATATTTAAGACTTGTACCGGGCGTCGGAACCAAAATACGAGCCCGATACTATAG